ATAAAACAGGGCTTTTAAATGGTCTTCTGTATCAGCGCTGGGAGCTTCGTCAGTGCTGTTTGCACAAAGGTGGGTCAAACAATGACAGAGTGACACTTGTGCAAGATCTTTGCCAAACCTCAGTTTACATTCACAGCACTTAAGTGACCTGCGTCTTATGGACATCTTATAGAACAAAAAAAAGACAATGCTGCTATTAGAAAGCATCAACAGATTTCCAAATGAATTAATTACTCCTCTGATTTATATTATTGTAATTCAATTTAAGATATATCACGCAATAAACAGCTTCATAGATCTGATGGGACTGAGAGTAATACTCAACTTTCCTGTAAGGATAAAACCTTTTGTAAATAACTGATATTAATAATAATAACTGTGTATTCATTTTATAATTATTATGAAACTGATACTTTTAAAAAACAGGAAGATTAAAACAGGAACATAAATAAATTGTGCTAAACTACCATTTACGCTTACACTATTTTAACATTTTAACTGCAGATTTCTATAATCTAGCCCAAATACAAAACAATTTTACTATCAGAAAGCAATAACAAATGTCCAACTTAACTATTTTACTCCTCTAGTTTATATTATTGCGAATTAAAAATTCCCATGCATTTTATCAGATTGACAGTGATACTCTTATTTTCTTATAAGGATACACTACATCTATAAATATCTATAATTATAACTGTATATTCATATTACACATATCAAGACTAAAATGTAGTATTATAACGATTATAAATAATATAGTTTCTAAACTAAATGACAGTATTTAAGTGCATAAGACACACTTTAGGAGTAAAGTTATTAAATCAATTCATCACAGCTGTTAAGAAACACCAGACCTTCAGCACATAAACTGATCAAACTACTCTTCATAACTTTATAAACCTGATGAGGAGATTAGTTTAGCATAAACTATGCTTATCCTAGATTAAATCTGGATTAAACTGAATCACTGACATTTAGGCCTTCGGACAGAATCAAATCGGTTTTGGATATGTTTACATTACGGCTAGCAGTTAGCCGTTAGCTTGATCACAGCAGTGCAATTACACCTGACAGCATAAAATACGGTGTTTAATTCAGTCAAAATGAGCTGCTTCTGTCTAAACAATGACATTAAGTTGCCATAAGATTCGTGTTATTGTTCCACAAGTGCATGAGAAGAGCAAACTCGGTCTGTTAGCATACCAGCTCAGTGTAGCATCAGAACCCATTGATTAACACGGGTGAAGCTAGCAGGCTAACATTAGCTCTAACCTCGGTGCTAACGGCTAGCTGTCGCGCAGCTGTCAGTCATCTTCTTACCTCACGAGACCGGAGTGAAGTGTCCCATCCTCACGAGCGCATCCCGCGCTCCGGCGTCACGGGAGATCCGCTCTGTCTCGGTCTGTGTGTGTGTCCGTGTCTATGTGTGTGTGTGTGTGTGTGTGAGTATGAGAGTGTGAGCTGTGGATCCTGCTCTTTTTCCTAGTATTACCCAGCATGCACCACGCGCTGGTGTGGCACTGCTGGACTCTCGTGTTGATTGGGTGAGGCTGGTTTGGGAGAAATCAACTAAACCCAGCACTCGTGGACCATCAGCTATGATCATCCTCATGTGAGCAAAAAAGCTATTTACAAGGACACAGTTTCTACTCTGAACAAATAATATTATAATTATGTGTCAAATATTATTTGGGTTATTTTTTTCTCATTATACTGTACTGTTCTATGTTTATTTGTTAATTTAATGTCATTTTTAAATATATTTTAATTAATTATACCTGCTGGACTCTCGTGTTGATTGGGTGAGGCTGGTTTGGGAGAAATCAACTAAACCCAGCACTCGTGGACCCTCAGATATGATCATCCTCATGTGAGCAAAAAAGCTATTTACAAGGACACAGTTTCTACTCTGAACAAATAATATTATAATTATGTGTCAAATATTATTTGGGTTATTTTTTTCTCATTATACTGTACTGTTCTATGTTTATTTGTTAATTTAATGTCATTTTTAAATATATTTTAATTAATTATAAGTTATTATTTATTTAGTTTAGTAAGTTATTTAGTAATTTCTGTTTTAATTCATATTAAATGTATTTATATTAGTGCTGTCAAACGATTAATCGCGATTAATCGCATCCAAAATAAAAGTTTTTTTTGTTTACATAATATCTTGTGTACTGTGTATATTTATTATGTATATATAAATACACACACATGCATGTATATATTTAAGGAAAATATGTAATGTTTACATATTAAATATTTTTATATATACTATGAATTAAATTACTATAAATATATACATGCAAATACATGTAAATATTTTCAAAATATGTACTGTATGTGTGTGTATTTAGACATACATAATAAATATACACAGAACACTCACATATATTATGTAAACAAACACTTTTATTTTGGATAATCGCGATTAATTGTTTGACAGCACTAATTTATTTATATCATACTTTAATTATTTTGTTATTATTTTTTTACACTGCCTAGTCTAAAGACCCAATTCATACAGTGAAGAGATAACATTATAAATATGTGTAGAATACAATCTGGAAAATATCGAGTCTCTGTTACATTACATTAAGTTTTTTTTTTTTCTACTCAGCATAGTGCTTTACTGCTCTATGTATTGTTTATTTGAATGTAATTTTTTACATCTATTTATTTTAATCAAATTTTATTCTACTAATTATTATTTTCATTATTTATATTTACCATTTAAAATTAGTTTTAATAATTTTTTTTTATTTTAATCTACCTTTTTTTTTTTTTTACACTGCTTTGCCTAAAGACCCCAATTATAGGCCTACAGTAAAAATTTATATTATAAAAATGTGCAAAATATAATTAGAAAAATATTCAGTTTCTATTAAGTTACATTGTTTTTTCTACTCATTATAGAACTGTATTGCTATCTGTATTATTTGTTTTGATTATTTATTATCTATTATCTATCTATTGTTTAGCATATCTATATCTTTATTATCATTATTATTTTATTTATTTAGTAAATTTTTATTTTAATAAACTTTTCCTACGTGTTTGCTTACCAGCCCAAATCAAGCAGAGCCTTAGCAAGTACCACGGCATTACCATCTACTACAGTCACTGTAACATACTGCAGTCCAATTAAGAAACAGCTCTACTATAAAAGACATAATCATCAGGAAGCAGAGCAGAGATAAGAAAGCCAACAGGAAAACCGAAGGCAGGAGTTTAACAGCAGGAAGACTCTTCCATGAACACTAAAATAAACTCTCCAGAACGGATGAGAACGTTTAGTAACAGGAGTGCAGCACACCAGTCATTTGCACGTTTGAAATATCTTTCTGTATACACCAAATACTCCGTGCACCTCAAGATAACTAGCTAACTTTAGAGTATGTTTTTCTGCAAGCACCTGATTCATGCAAATGATCTACAATATTACTCAATAGTGTGTCCGGCCCTGCTACAATCATCACTGACAATACAATTTCATTAGAAGCCTTTATTAATTAGGAACAATGTGTGTACAATCAAGAAGAGGTTGATGCTCAGAGACAATAAATACACAGAAAGCACTGGAATGCAACGATTTTCTCCCTGATTTTATGCTGGTCTCAAGTAACGAAAGCACCTAAATGAAGTTCACATCATCACGCTAAACATAAAATGCATTGCTCTAAAGTATGTTTAAAGGAACACTCCACTATTTTTGAAAATAGGCTAATTTTCCAACTCCCCTAGAGTTAAACAGTTGAGTTTTACCGTTTTCGAATCCATTCAGCCGATCTCCGGGTCTGGCGGTAAAAAAAAATGCCTCCTTATAGCTCGAAATGCATCAATTCATCAGTTCTAGATGCACCTACCTGGGGACTTTTTTCAGGCGCTGCGTAATATCCGCCTGACCCGGAGATCGGCTGAATGGATTCGAAAACTGTAAAACTCAACTGTTTACCTCTAGGGGAGTTCGAAAATGAGCCTATTTTTAAAAATAGTGGAGTGTTCCTTTAAGTGCTTGTCAATGGAATTCCAATGGAAAGATCATTATTGCTGTAAGACAGATGCAACTCTCAAATCACCCTGTTTATGTTATATACACGTATTTAGGAAACAAACAAACCTCTTTGGGGTTTCCACCCGAGTACATTAACTGGAGAGCTACACTGGTAAATTCAGGCAGTACGTTCATATATCGCTATTCACTGAAGCTGTACATTGTTAAACGCTGTTGTTAAATGCAACATTCATCTTACATTTCTCCATTTCTGTCATCTCCACTTTAATGCCATAAAGTCAACATGAAATGCAAACGGACCCTTTTTACTTTCTGAATGCATGCTCTTGGTCTTATATTTAATATTATTTTTTAATATATGTTTAATATTTTGCCTTCATAACTTGTTCTTCCTCTGAAATTCCTCTACTGATGTCACTTAATAGTGCACTGCACTATTTGTGTAGTCCAAAACTATGAAACAAGTGGCATTTTAGCACTGAAGTCCAGAGCTGAAGAGCTGAAGTCAACTGGTTTCCTGAATGGGTTTTTGGTTTAATTCCTGAAAGAAGCTCAGTGGTGAACACAAGCTCACGATATTTTCACATTTTATCGCAATTGCTAACAAGTGCATACATTTAACCGCAGAGGTTAAACTCATCTACTCACTAGTCGCTTTCACAGCCTCATTGTGCTTATAATCGTGCTCGTGCAAACAACTCTAAAGGCCCGTTCACACCAAGCACGATAACTATAAAGATAACGATAAAGATATAGTTCTAAAGATCGTTCTCAATATTAAAGAATAGCATAGTTCACACCACAACTATAACGATAACGATACAGAGGAACGATATCTATTGAGCTCAAGAATTTAAAGCGGCAGACGCATGTGCGCTTAGAACAAACAGACGATATCGTTCGCTAGTGTGGACGCTAATATCGTTATCTTTATAGTTATCTTTATAGTTATCGTTCTTGGTGTGAACGGGGCTTAACTCAAACTTTCAGCGAAAATGTTGAAGTTACATGATCTCGTTGTAGTTAGTTTACATTTAGTTTTTTACTTTTGGTGATTTAGGATGTTTAGGATTCAAAATTGATTGTCAAGATTATCATATTGAACAAAATGATTCACAGAGCTTTTTTTCTGCAATAATCCAAAAGCCAATGGGAAATCCTATTGAGTTTTTGACAAAAGGACCAGGATGATGCAAACTTATGGGTTGGACTTCAAAAATACATCAAAATCAAGTCCCGCCCTACCTTTTTTTTCTATTTGAATATCCCGTTGCACTCAAAAAAAACAAACAAAATTGGAAGCGAATGGCATTTCATGTTGACCTCTGCTAAAATGCTACTGAGAATTGTGATGCTCATAAAAAGAAATGCCTCCTTATAGCTCGAAATGCATCAATTCATCAGTTCTAGATGATTCTGGAGCGTCCTTCGCTATCACAGACAGTCGTTAATGCTCCGAACGGACGGGCTGCCGGGAAGCTGGATTCACGACACGCAGCAGACGTCAGTTGAGCTTGGTGATGGTCAGACTGCCGCTGATCTGGATGGTGTCGATGGCCGTCAGCGGCGTCACGCGGTGGTAGAAGTCAAAGAGCTGATGGCCATCCACGAGCACGCGGAAGCGCGGGTGCTCGCAATGAATCTCAACCTGAACAAACAACAAGAGAGAAAACTAACGCCATTATAAACGTCAACTACAGCTTCAAACTGCATGTTCATGTCCCTGCTGTTTCGTAAGGACCATGAGAGTTTCATGCAATAGACAGTTATTTAGACTATTTCTTTTTTGCATATTCATCAGTCACTCTATATATTTACATTTATGCAATAGGCTTTTATCCAAAGCGATTAACTTTATGCATTTGATCAGTTCATGTATTTGCTGGGAATTGAACCCATGATCTTGGTGTTGCACAGTGGTGTACAGTCAGCATGACCCTAAACCAGCCTCAGTTAACCCCATAAAGCCTACTGTATCATATCTGATGAACAAAGGTCTCTAAAAAATAAAAACATTTCGGTCACTTTATTTTAAGGTCCAATTCTCGCTATTAACAAACCATTAACTACAACTTTTGCCTCAATAAACTCCTAATTTGCTGCTTATTAATAGTTATTGCTGCTTATTAGGTATTGGGTAGGTCCCTATACTAAAGTGCTACCACTTTTTCTGACTATTATTTCATGTTTATAGGGTTAACAAGCCTTCATTAACACCAACAAGTCAACTATTTAGTAGACAGCCAATCATTCAGTTTTGCAAATATGTATCCCTACACAAAACATGAGGTCATTCTGTTGAATTCAGATGATGACTGACCCTAAAAGGCTGCTCTGCGATGAAGGGGAAGTAGGGTATTGACCTCTCCTCCTCGCCCCAGCTATCAGAAACGCAGGCGTTTCGCAAAATCTCCCGGTCTTCGAACCGCACGCACATATCCAGAGCGACGTCCCCGCAGCCGCACGTCAGACTGATGTCAAATCTGCCCCAGAGAGAGAGCAGGAACATTCAACATGGAGTTAAAACCGAAACAACAGAATACAGGAGGTCATCATCTAGACGCTGTGATTTTATCTGAAGTTTTTCTTTCGCATCCCATTCCTAGTTAACTAGCTAGAAGTTTGATCGCTTAAGTTATACAGATAAGATGAAGCACATGACAGCTGTGTCTCTCAGGGTGTGTCCCGCACGTGTGTGAGCACTTGTGAGTGTGTGTGTGCGTGTTGACAAAAGCTACCTGTCCGGATCTGCATTCACGATGCCCATGATCGTGATTTTCTTCCCCGGTCTCAGTCCGCCCCGGATGCCGCCGCAGAACGGCACGGCCTGTCAAACACAGCACAGCGACGTGAGACAACACAACATGAACATATAAACAAAACCCAGTCTGTCAGGTATCATCTAGACGCTGTGATTTTATCTGAAGTTTTTCTTTCGCATCCCATTCCTAGTTAACTAGCTAGAAGTTTGATCGCTTAAGTTATACAGATAAGATGAAGCACATGACAGCTGTGTCTCTCAGGGTGTGTCCCGCACGTGTGTGAGCACTTGTGAGTGTGTGTGTGTGTTGACAAAAGCTACCTGTCCGGATCTGCATTCACGACGCCCATGATCGTGATTTTCTTCCCCGGTCTCAGTCCGCCCCGGATGCCGCCACAGAACGGCACGGCCTGTCAAACACAGCACAGCGACGTGAGACAACACAACATGAACATATAAACAAAACCCAGTCTGTCAGGTCATTACCAGTTTCTGTTGCTCATCTTTACACTGAGGCTCCCCGAAAGAACTGCTCAGATTTCTGGTTCTCTGTGGTGGATAAAGCACAACCAGGAAGTTAAGAGACGGCCGTTTGTGCAAAAAACATGCAAATTGCATGTGTAGATACACAGCACTGAACAGGTGGAAACACTGATTCACTAAGTGGTAGTGACACAGGGAACATACAAATGCACAATATCCAAGCTGCTTTCTTTTACACACAATGAAAGAGAATGGGGACTGGAGCTAGTGTCAAGCCCTCATAGGACTAAAAGAAACATATCCTAAACATACTCCATATTAACTAAAGTCCAAGTCTTTTGAATCTAAATCATTGAAACTATCAAGACATCCACAAACACCAAGATATCCAATTAACAAACTGAACACAAACGCATGTTTATGCAACAAACTTTTTCCTCACACAAAACTATTGTGTGGCTTCATAAGATAACATAGCACATCTGCCTTGACAGCTCCAGTCCCCATTCACTCCCATTGTAAGAGAGCTGTCAACATTCTGCTAAACATCTAAACATGTCTACGTCTACAACTACATTACCTTATACAGGTCTGGAAGGATATATAATTAAAGTGAATGGAGATTGGAGCTGTCAAGCCCCCAGAGAACAAAAGGCACCATAAAAATATGCTCCCCATAATAATTAAATTCCAAGTATTCTGAATCTAAATCATTGCTTATTGAAAATCTGTGCTCACAAATCTCTGTGCGCTTCAGCATATTTAAAGTTGTCAGGTAAATATAAAAACATCCTAGAACCAATGACATTTGACATAACTGAGAACAAACTGTTTATGCGCCGAATTTGTTCTTCACACAAAACTACTGTTGCTTCATAAGACAATATAGCGCATAAGTCGTATGCACTTCTTTTTTTGTCATGTTTGGAATTTGACAGCGCCAGTCCCCATTCACTTACATTGTAAAATAAGTGTTAACGTTCTGCTAAACATGTTTGGAAGGACACGAGGGTAAATAAATGATGCCTATTATTTTAATGTGTACTATTCCTTTAAAACATCAATGCGTGCGAATTCTCTAGTCTGGTTCTCGCTGCTGACAAACTTGTCTCCGTGTGTGAAGAAGCAGGACACACGGCTTCCAGTGCCCAGAAAACCCGCGGCACTCTTCATTATGAAAATACTCACAAGTTCGTGTCGGACTGCGCTCAACTCTGCCATCTTCCACGCAGATCCACCACGGAAAGCCCGAGCGCTCGAACTCGGTTCGGGATCCAGGACTCTGATCCGCTCGGTTCGCCTGTATCTCCAGCAGAACGCAGAAAGTAGCGTCTGTCCAATCAGCGCGCGCCCAGCAGGGTTTGCATTGTGACTTGGCAGGATGTTAATCCGAGCGCTTGTCCTAAAACTTAATCAGCTCTAATGACTTTAGTCTGTGTTTATCCCCCTGGGACTGAGAAGAAAAATTTTTTTTGGGAATTAATTTTTTATTTATATTATATGATATTTTTTCATTATAGTGTGTGGAGAACATGACTTTTTATACTATAAAGTCAAATATAATATTCGATCGACATATAACTCACTGAAAAACTCCTAAAATGACATAATTTGAAAATCAAGGTATACTGATGCAGTGTATGAAAAAAGGATTGACCACCATCAGCACTAACTTAACTAAAAGTAGCATGTTACAACATTTTTTGGACATGATACCATAGTAAAACTGTATTTTTTGGGGATGTACACCATGGTACCCGGCTAACAAAATATGTTGTAAAAATGTTTTGCTCTTATGTTATGAAAACTTTGTTTCTGAACGTCCCATTTTTAATAATAATAATAATAATATTTTTTAGAACCTTAAGGGAACATTCTATTTTATAATTGAGCAAAATTTATGGGAACAGATGTTTGCTCAATTATAAAATGGAATGTTCGCTTATCGTTCTAAAAAAGGAAGTAACATCAAGCTGAAACGGCTCAGAAAAAAGCGCACTGAACAATGTATAAATAACGTTTTTGAGCTACCATGTTTAACAATGTTTTGAAAACATTATTTAAAGCCAGATAACATTAAACAAGCGTTCTATTAACGTTACTGGAAGAATGTCCGTTAATAAATTCGAGAGAACTTTCCTAGAACGTTAGCCAAAGTTCTGAGAACGTTCCTGGGGAACACTATAAAGTACCATGTGGCAAGCAAACGCACTGAAAAGAAAAAAAAATCAGAAAATCTCTTTATAATATCATATGAAACATACTATGTTGTATGCAATTAAAAGTCATAAATCTGAATGTGAACTCAAATGATTCTCATAAGATTCTTCCACGACCAAGTTATATGAGCTTTGCTGTCAGAATCATTCATTTTAGACTTTTATTTCTCATTGGGAAGTTTTAGGAAAAGCTGTGAAAGAGCAGCTTCTGAGCAATCACCGTTTGATGTGTTTAATTATAACTTAACTAAAAGTAGCATGTTACAAAATTTTTTGGACATGATACCATAGTAAAACTGTATTTTTTGGGGATGTGCACCATGGTACCCGGCTAACAAAATATGTTGTAAAAATGTTTTGCTCTTATGTTATGAAAACTTTATTTCTGAACGTCCCATTTTTAATAATAATAATAATAATATTTTTTAGAACCTTAAGGGAACATTCTATTTTATAATTGAGCAAAATTTATGGGAACAGATGTTTGCTCAATTATAAAATGGAATGTTCGCTTATCGTTCTAAAAAAGGAAGTAACATCAAGCTGAAACGGCTCAGAAAAAAGCGCACTGAACAATGTATAAATAACGTTTTTGAGCTACCATGTTTAACAATGTTTTGAAAACATTATTTAAAGCCAGATAACATTAAACAAGCGTTCTATTAACGTTACTGGAAGAATGTCCGTTAATAAATTCGAGAGAACTTTCCCAGAACGTTAGCCAAAGTTCTGAGAACGTTCCTGGGGAACACTATAAAGTACCATGTGGCAAGCAAACGCACTGAAAAGAAAAAAAAAATCAGAAAATCTCTTTATAATATCATATGAAACATACTATGTTGTATGCAATTAAAAGTCATAAATCTGAATGTGAACTCAAATGATTCTCATAAGATTCTTCCACGACCAAGTTATATGAGAGTAACATCAAGCTGAAACGGCTCAGAAAAAAGCGCACTGAACAATGTATAAATAACGTTTTTGAGCTACCATGTTTAACAATGTTTTGAAAACATTATTTAAAGCCAGATAACATTAAACAAGCGTTCTATTAACGTTACTGGAAGAATGTCCGTTAATAAATTCGAGAGAACTTTCCTAGAACGTTAGCCAAAGTTCTGAGAACGTTCCTGGGGAACACTATAAAGTACCATGTGGCAAGCAAACGCACTGAAAAGAAAAAAAAATCAGAAAATCTCTTTATAATATCATATGAAACATACTATGTTGTATGCAATTAAAAGTCATAAATCTGAATGTGAACTCAAATGATTCTCATAAGATTCTTCCACGACCAAGTTATATGAGCTTTGCTGTCAGAATCATTCATTTTAGACTTTTATTTCTCATTTGGGAAGTTTTAGGAAAAGCTGTGAAAGAGCAGCTTCTGAGCAATCACCGTTTGATGTGTTTAATTAATTTAATATCTCATGATACATGAATACAGCAGACAGATTCCATATTAGTGAAATGATGAGATATAAATAATGTGAATTTAAACCATGTGTAGACTGGTAATTCCAGCCTACAGTTGCGTAAGAGTGAAATTTGTTAACATAAACTAATTTCAAGCCTGAGGAAATGGAAGGAAAGGATTTGCAGACAGACGTTCGTTCCACTGAGCTGTAAAACATTCCGCTCTGTAACTCATTTATGCCGACGGAGGACTTTGGACTGAACGAAGTGGCATTTCACACAGTGACTTTCAAAGAAAGTCATCGTTTGGCTGTTGTGATGTTCGCAGGACTGATAAGCTGTCTGTCTGAATAAAGGTGAAGACAGCACAACAGACACGTGTTGTGTTGTGAGTGTATATACAGCAGGTGGCGGTATAGAGCAATACTTTAGTTTCTGCCTTTACCTGAATACTACTGAAACACCTCATCTATCTATCTATCTATCTATCTATCCTTATGCCATTCTATCTATCTATCTATCTATCTATCTATCTATCTATCTATCTATCTATCCTTATATCTATCTATCTATCTATCTATCTATCTATCTATCATCTGTAACATCAACCAGAATTTCTCTCAAAGAAAACTTATCTCCAAACATCTCCTCGTTGCGTTTGTTACCAACAACCTGTTGCCTCATTCAAGTTTAAAAGCGTGGCAGTTTTAGTTGAATCCTTTGTAAAGAGTTGTAAGCTAATCATAAAGCTCTGCTGTGTCAGGGTTGACTGTTCTGTGCCTATGGTGCACGACTGGTTTGAGATCCATAGACTCAATAAGACTGCATGTTAACAATAACAAACTAATCTGTTACACAGACAAAGACTTCTAACACAATATCTCTCTTTTCTATCTCCTACGCCCAGCTATAACACACACACACACACTCAGACATCAGGACTCCGGCCAAGCAGTCCTTTTGTTTCCCTCCCCAGTCCAAGTTCAGGGTATTTAAAACACAGTGTAAACACACTCATACTCATGGCAACTGTCTCCATGACAGCATGACAACAAGCCCTTGGCAACTGGGGTGACTTAATATTTGCCTTGCGTTAGCATAACATTTTCAATATGTAAGGCCGTGGCAGAGAGGCGGCGCGCACCCATTGAAGTTCAGAGCAGTCGGTGTGGGACGGTTGCTATGTTGCTGTGTGTTGAGTTGCAACTGTGGCAACAAACCCATGCTGAAGTACTTCCTTTAGAGGAACATCTGGTGAAAAAAATGTCCCCGGGGCGTAATGTCTTCTTAGAGAGAGCGAGAGAGAGCGAGAGAGAGAGAGAGAGAGAGACGGAGTGAGGGGTGGGCTGGGCAGACAGACGGTCAGACACAGACAGATATGAAATAGAACAGATGCAGATTTGTGCCTCTGCCAGGCTCATGGCTTTGCCTACGGCGGACGGATGAGGGAAGATGGGCGGACTTCATTACCCATAATCCCTCGCGGTGCGCTCTGTGACGTCAGCTCTCACGCTTTGTAGACAGACGCGGAGTTATTCTGGAGAGCTGTCAGTGCACGGAGACTGCTGGGGACATCCTGCCTCACTCCTTACATGATTATTTTTGGCATTTTATCCGAAAAACAGAACGACTGTTCTCACTTATTTCCGACAACTACTGAGTCAGTCCACCTGGAGTTTCTTTAGTTTGGCGCGTATCTGAGAAGGCACACTAAAAAGTCTTGTTAGAGGTAAGCTGTTACCTTTAGTGAATGGAAATTAAAGCAATGTAAGGCAGCCCGGGCACATTTATTTTTGGTTTATAATATGCAAACGTTTGCAAGGAGTTTGCAAAATGCATTTGAACTCCGCAGAAATTAATTAACCAAACCAAAAGAAATTCTAAAACTTTTGTTAGTCTACGAAATAAATAATTCTCTATATGTGCTGAATGTGATTAACCTATGATTTATTTAAATGAAAAATTCGTTTCAGAGACTTCAGCATATATTCTCATATCTACCTGTCTGCTTTATTTGTTTCTTTGTCGTGAGAAGGTATGCTTTGGTTGTCGTTAAACCGTCACTGATTGATCAGCAGCGTTGATTGACTGACAGCTGTTAGCATATTTGTAATGATAGTCTGTGATTGTCCTCGTTAATATCCGCTCAGGATGTTCTCAGCTATAAATACTGCTACTATACAGTATAATGTGAATAAGCGCATTATCATGTTTCTGAGTCTGAAGAGGCTCCTGATCTTCATCTTCCTCCACAGACTCGATCGCGCGCGGTATGTGTGCACTACACGCTTAAAAATAAAGGTTCTTTATTGGCATCAATGGTTCCACAAAGAACCTTTACCATCCATGGAACCTTCTCATTCCACAAAAGGTTCTTTACAGTGGAAAAAGGTTCTTTGGGTTATTAAAATGTTCTTCACACTGAACAAAAAATGGTTCTTTTAAGAACTGTTCACTGAAAGGTTCTTTGGGGAACCTAAACTGGTTCTTCATGGCATCGCTGTGAAAACCCTTTTTGGAACCTTTATTTTTAAGAGTGTAGTCTGTCATTTCTGAGGTTACAAAGTCGGTTAAAAAACATCTGACAATGAGAAAATGAGCACTACAAAAGTTTTTATCAACAAAAACTGTGACATCTTGGTGCTAGCCACCACTGTCATCAATAAAGAAATCAAAAAAATGAAAAAAATAAACTTCAAACTTTTGAAGGAGAAAAGAAGTATAATAGGCCTACAGTAAAAAAAAAAAATAGCTGTAGTAAAATGAATCAAACTAAAGAAAAGTTGTTTTATATTGAATAGTTTACATTACTTCATTTCATTTAGAAATACATTTAGATTGTTTTAGAAAATGTAGAAAATGCTTGTCCGTTTTTTTCATTTGTTCCCCTAAAATTAATGAAAAACACAACCATTACGACAAAAATGCTATCAAGTTATGTACAATTTTTTATGTTAAAGTTTTTTTTTTAAAAGCTGTTGTAAAAAAAAGTAACTGCCCTTTCCTTTCATGTCGCTTTCTCAGTTGAATAATGAAAACAGCTTGCACATATATGCTTTCTGTGTTCATTTTTTGAGTTAAATAATGAAATTTACCATGCTTTGTTGAAAGAAAAAAAAAAACACTGAATTAATTTTTTTGTCAGCTGGGCTACGTCGTTCTGTTATTTTGTGCAAACTCACACATGTTGAAATGCATAACAAACATTTTAATACAATTTTAAGTAATGAAAAAAAAACAAGTAAATCGAAACACTACAAAAATAAAAAGGGTTTGTTTATTATAATTGCTTAATTGGTCCAACAAAAATGTCACCAATGACATAAAAATCTTGTTTAATTTGTTCATGAACACACACACTGTCCCTTCACCGTTTTTGTTCTCCACTGATCTCATGTCTTTCTTCTCTTTCTCACACTCATCTCTGTTTTCAGCTGATCTCCGGATCCATTCGGCTCTCTCCTTTTTGAATTTTAGGATATATTTTCTGCTAATTATTCCATAATCACCAAACTCCCTTAATTCAGTGCAACTCAAACACTGTTCAGAAAGATTCTGCACTAAACTGATGGACCAGCATGCATTGGGTCCGATGCTCGAAATCATTAATGCACACCAATGGTTATGTAAAAAGAGGAGGGATAAATGTACAAACTTCTGTGGTTGCTGTTTTGTTAAACACTGTGATCTTCTGTGGCCATATTCTGTCTATCCTGAAAAAAATTTTCATGCAAAACATGACATTGATGAAAATGTGCAAATGTTCCACGTTTGTTTATAATTTCAGAACATATGAATAAATAAAAAAATCATTTACACAGAATCTGTGCTGGAATTCCCTGAATATTTGGTTGTATTTTTGCATTAGATCTTTAAAGAATCAGAATCACAACAACAACATTAACTAACTTTGCATTTACATTTATATATACATCTGAGATAATAAGCCTTTGCAGCTTAATCAAAACAAAGACTTCTCTCTATTGCACTGCTAAAATGCCGTTAAACAAACAAACTGTCTAGTCTAGCCGTCTCTCTCACACATACAATAGATGAAGTGAACTGCAGCTCTGTCTGAGTCGAGCGTGCTCTCAATCTCAGCATCAGCGTGAGTGTGTGTGGATAGCGTGTGTCATGAAAGATCCTTTGTTGTTGGACAGTGAAGTCACTCTTTGACTCGTGAGTTGGTCGGGTGGGACTGTGCAGAGCTCAGAGCCCAGCGAGGGGCTTTCAGAGTCAGACGTGGGGTGAATGAAGCTCTGTGTCGACCCACCTTCCCTCTGGAGCAGGAGGAAACGACTCACATGGCCAGCAGTCTATTTTCTATAAGGCAAGAGTCACTCTTGCTCATACTTTGGGTTTTTGTCCCTCTCAGTTTTAGATATTACTTCATTCACTTCTTAAATGTAACTATTGTGCCTCAAAAAGTGCCTTGAGGGATAATACTTGAATTTAAGAAGCTTATTTTGCTTAACTGTGCACAATGCAAGGAAAATAACTGTGGCCGTTCGCATAAAACGAAGGCTTTAAATTAAAACCAAGCAGAAACCACTGCTAGCCGGTTGATTCAAAAGTGGGCGGAGCAAACGTGCAAGCATTCCCATGCATATATGTTGCATTGTATACATGTATATAGTATATGTATATTAGTTCTGTTTAATGAGTTTATATGACATTTTCATTCATACATGGTTGCAACAATGTTTTAGCACTAAATATTTAGGTTGTATTATGAAAATGCTCAATTAACTTTTGTTTCTTAAAGGTTCGTAGACATTTAGTTGCTTTCAAATTAAACCCCATATAAATGCGCTCTATCATTACTTGCAATTACTTTTATAAGTGATTATAAACTTGTAATTTTCACCTGGTGGATGATTACATAACACCCTAGCAACCTCCCAGAATACCCTAGCAACAAGCCTGAACCCCCCAGCAACTATGTTTATCTTTATCCATTACGCCTCACCACCCCAGAAATCTGAGCTAAACGTGCACGCTTGTATGTATATGTGTGTGTTTCAATCCTCATAAATCGCTCATAAATCAAAGCTCATCATTAGCAAACGTTCCCTTGCATACTTCAAAGAGCATAAACTCAGAGAGGTGTGTGCCCTGCATCACCCAGTGTATACTGGGTCGCTGTGGAAACGCTGCGCTGTGTTGTAGCCGGCTGGCAAGAGTGCAAATGTCTTCTGTATTCTGAGCAAATGTCTGGCATGGATACAGGGACGAGGCCAGGGTGTGACACACACACTCACACACACACGTTGCCCTTAGGGCTGACAGTATCTGTCCTTAAGAAACATATCTGGCTTTGTGTGGTTTGGTTAGTGTGTGTGTGTCAGGCAGGAATGGGGTGAGGAGTTTATTCACACTATGTCAGAGTCGTCCTGTCAGACAGATGATTAAGTGCTTCAAGCCCAGATCAGATATCCGTCCTGTTTAAGAGAGCTCTCTCTGGGTCATTCATACAGACCCACAGGAAAGGCTGAAGGTTTGCACGTTTGCACACAGGTGTGTTGTTGTTAGCCATGCAATTGCTAAAAAAAATCATGCACCGATGCATTACACTTCTGCAGTAATCAAAGTAGTTTTCTCTATGGATTTTGTGCTTGTGTTGATGCTTGTTAAATGATTTACACCTGTGTTTGTTTGTTGTTATGTTAGATTATTTTGTTTGTTGATTTGTCCTTGTCCCTGTTTTTTTTTTAACTTATTTACATTTGTTGGTTTGTAATCATTTGTTATTTTGCAGCTGTGTTTATGCTGGTTTGTTTGTTTGTTTGCTGCTGCTTTATATTTTTATTTGTTTCTTGTTTTTTGTTGCTTTGCAGTTTGTTGAGCTGTGTTGGTGTGTGTTTGTTGATTTACACTGTGTGTGTGTGTGTGTGTGTGGTGTCAAAAGTGTAGTAATACTAGTAAATTTTGACCTTGTGGGGACATTTTTGAGGTCCTCATGAGGAAACAAGCTTATAAATCATACAGAATGAGTTTTTTTGAGAAAGTGAAAATACACAAAGTTTCCTGTAAGGGGTAGGTTTAGGGGTACCCTTACCAAAAAGTAGTATACTTCAAGTTTATTTTAGCAATTATACTTAAGTAAAGTTCAAGTATATTTTTAAGTATACTTTATGTAGCAAGTATACAAATATCAGTGTACTAGTAGTATACTTGTAAGTGTACTATTTCAATACTCCTTGGGACTAAATTGGCCCACTTTCTAGTATATAAAAGTATACTTTAAGTATAACAGTAGTAAACTTTAAGTACACAACTAGTTTACAACAAAGATGTGTACTAGCGCCCCCTACAGTATAACAATGAAAACACGGATTCTAGGAGCACAATTATAGCTAAAATATATTTAGACTTTTTCTAAGTATGAGTCAAGTATACTTAAATGTCATTTTAAGTATATTTCTGAGAAGTACAGAAAGCCCATTTCTGAGAAGTACATAAAAAGTAGACTAAAAGTATACTTTCCTATTTTTAGTTTAAAAGAAGTATACTAATAGCACACTTGAATAAACTTATTTTTCGTAAGGGTAGGGTTGGTGTAGGGCAATAGCACATACAGTTTGTACAGTATAAAAACCATTACGCCTATGGAATGTCCCCATAAAACATGGAAACACAACATGTGTGTGTGTGTGTGTGTGTGTGTGTGTTGATTTGAAGTTGTGTTTGTTGGTTAATTTATCCATGTGTATGTTTGCCACTTTATGTTTTTATTTGTTTTGTTTGCTCCGCTTTGTTGAGGTCTGCTGTTTTTTTTTGTTACTTTACTCTTATTTTTGTTTGTCTGTTGCTTTGCACTTGCATTTGTTTGTAGATTTGTTCTTGTGTTTGTTTCTTGTTTTGTATGTTTTTGTTTTGTTGTTACTTTGCGCTTGCATTTGTTTGTAGATTTGTTCTTGTGTTTGTTTCTTGTTTTGTGTGTTTTTGTTTTGTTGTTACTTTGCGCTTGCATTTGTTTGTAGATTTGTTCTTGTGTTTGTTTCTTGTTTTGTATGTTTTTGTTTTGTTGTTACTTTGCGCTTGCATTTGTTTGTAGATTTGTTCTTGTGTTTGTTTCTTGTTTTGTATGTTTTTGTTTTGTTGTTACTTTGCGCTTGTATTTGTTTGTAGATTTTTTTTCTTGTATTTATCTCGTTTCATTTGTTTTTGTTTTGTTTGTTACTTTGCACTTATAGCATTTGTTTGTTGGTTAATTTGCATATGTATTTTTGTTGTGTTGCATCTTTATGTTTGTTTGTTGTTTTGCACTTTGTTGAGTTGTACTGATTTGTGTTTGTTATACTTGTTTATGTTTTTTTGTAATTGTTTGTGTGTTGTTTTGTTGTTTGATGTTTTGTTTGCTGGTCAATTTGTGCATGTGCATGTTTGCTGCTTTGTATTTTTATTCATGTTTGTTTCTTGTTTTTTGTTGCTTTGCACTTTTAGTTGTGCTGGTGTGTTTCTTTGCACATTTATTTATGTTTGTTTTTGTTTTGTTTGTTTGTTGCTTGGAACTTGTGTTAATTTGTAGAATTTTACTTGTGTGTGTATGTGTTACGGGGCGAACGAGACGTGAGACGTGCGGATCCAAATGCAAGGCTTTATTCAAAGACATGGTCAGAAACAGGCAGGGTTGAACACCAGCAAACAGATATGTAGAGGGCAAGACACAAGAGTATTCCTAGGGCTAGCGTGGGTCTTCGATCGGCGAACAGAATCCAGAGGGCTTGACAAGAGGGGTAATCCAATAAACACAGGCAGAAGGTCAGGAAACAGACAACAAGGCAACACGAAGTGGCTAGACTAATACTAGAACTAGAACTGGGAACTAGGAAGGGCTCCGTAATGCAGCTATCGCTAGAAGAGTGATATGCGCTAAACAATAGTCGGCAGCTTGACGGGATCAGAGTGAGTGTTATATAGGGAAGCTGTGATTGATGACAGCTGTGTGCAATCAGTGCTGTGTGCAATCAACTGTGTGTGTGTAATCAGTGCAATGGATGATGGGAACTGTAGTCCGGGTGAAGTGCAACAGTGGTGTGGTGCAAGAGTCCATAGTAGTGGAAGGGTGACCTCTGGTGGCAAGCAGACGGAAGTTCATAGACCGGATTCGTGACAGTATGTGTGTTGCTTTATACATTTATTTATGGTTGTTTTCTAGTTATGTTTACTCTGATGTTTGTATTTTTATTTGTTATGTTTTGATTTTGCATCTATGTTGATGTGTGTTTTTTGTTTTGCACTTGTTTATCTCTGTTCATGCACATGAGAGATTAAAGTTCTGTCATTTGTAGCTGCGAGAGTTGTTGATGGGTTTTTTTGTGTCGGAAACAGCGATGTCTGTCGCCTACTATTTTTATGTTTGTGGTTTCATCTCGTGCCAGCGCCAACGTTTTGTGACCGCTTGACCCTGACAGAGCAAAACAGTACTGATGCCAACCCACACTGAGAGGAAGTGAAACCATCTCAGCGATATTTGGAGATGATCTCCTGCATCTTATTTCATTACTTACTTGTGTGCTATCGAATGTGTCTTTTCTGGGTAATATTCCCTTTCTATAATTTCTATTTGTTTGTTGCAGTTTTTTTTTTTTGCACTATAGTCTCAGTGGGAATAAGACTAACAACCGAGGCTTTAGATTTTGTGCTGCTTTCAGAGGCGTATGGTAGGAGGAGAGCAAACTAAACTCTGAATCACAGACATGATCAGAGGCATCTGTTGCTTAGTCATTCGTTTAGTGCCACAGATTAGTGTAACCTGCTTTTGTTGTGTTTTTCGTTTGCAGATGTCTTATGGTGAGACCGTGATGGTGGAGCATTGAGGAAGCAAGATCAAGAAGGGAAGACAGAGAAATATTTCAGAGGAAGGGTTTGAGCTGAAGACCAGAGTGATGTTGGCCCCTGAACAGGAGCTGCTGAGCTCTTCCAAACCCATCAAATACGGAGAGCTCATCGTCCTCGGGTAAGAATGACTCCTCTTTCTCAATCATATTTACAGTTATGATTAGTAAATCTTACTTATAACTGCAAAACATGTTAAATAACAGAAACAACATGTATGGCAGTTATATTACTAATGCAGCATTGTGTACTAATGTTTTGTCTCCACAGCTACAACGGCTCCCTACCGAACGGAGACCGTGGCAGAAGAAGGAGTCGTTTTGCTCTGTTTAAGAGACCCAAAGCCAATGGAGTCAAACCCAGCACCGTCCACAGCACATGCAGTCCACAGACCGCCAAGGTACACGCCCATTTTCCCGATAATAATTTTTATACGTCTTTTAAAAGCCTTTATTGCTCATTTACGTGTCACATTGAATTTTTAAGGGCTTCTGCACAAGCCGAGAGTTTAAATGTGAGCTGGTTTTCTTATCATTCTTCGCTGCCAGTGAATGTGCATCTAAAGCATGTGTAGCATGCGACACTTTTATCCAGAGTGACTTCACCCTCTCATTTCATTGTCACATGTTACTCCTGCATGTCTGAATATGATAAATGAACTGTAAGCTGATTTGACTGGTGTAAATATTATGAACCGGCATGCTCTTGACAAGGTTTCTGGTGTGCATGTGGTGTTTTTGCAGGCCATCAGCAACAAAAACCAGCACAGTGTGTCGTATACGCTGTCCAGGGCGCAGACGGTAGTCGTGGAGTACGCACACGACAGCACCACCGACATGTTTCAGGTATGTTTATGTTTCTTCAGGTAACTGGTAACTTCAGGTAAAGATGTTTTTATATCAACTTACCAATTATAAAATCATGTTTCTACTCCAATACGTTTTTGGAATATAAAAATTTAATTGGTATCTGTCATTAAAAACGTATTTTCATGACAGATGTATTCAAACACATTAAATAATGAAGACAACAGGTTAAGTAAAATATTATAATGTAATAGTGCATATACTTAGCAAAATAATTTTTTTATCTGACGAATTTATGGACATCGAATGGCTTTCTTGAGGTAAATATAATGTTTACAAGCTGTTTTACTGACATCTTTCCGTGGTTGAAACACTGATTGAGTGATTGATACATTTCAATAAGTTGACATCTCAACACCTTCTGATGTTCATTAATGTTTATTTTGTACTATATCTAGTATTAAAGAAGAAGAGATGATCGCTTCATGTGCCACTTGAAATGAGGCACTACAGTGACCGGTCACGCTATGTTAAAGAGCATCAAAACCACATTTATTGTTTGAATTGTGTGATAAAATGGACAGAAGCAACTAAAAACGGCACAGACTAAAAGATCTCGGTTCATCAAAAATGGAGATAAATCGATATTATCAATGCCCTCCAAAAACCAAAAATTAATATTCAGTTGCTGAAATTTTGGTGCATTACTACTTTATGCAGAAAGTGCATATAAATAAACTGCACAGTTAGTGCATATAAATAAACTGCACGGTTAGTGGTGCAATATAAACTCTCTAAACACTGAAAGTTCTTCATCTCTTTCATTCATGTCAATCTGTTTTTACTCTGTGTGTCACAGATTAGAGATTCCAATACAATTTCCCCTTAATCACTGTAGAAACCATCTTTCTTTTGCAGATCGGCCGGTCCACTGAAAGCCCCATTGATTTTGTGGTGATGGACACGGTGCCTGGTTGTCACGGCAAAAGCGGCACGCTGTCGTCTCAGAGCACTATATCACGATTTGCGTGTCGGATCGTGTGTCAGAGAGCGCCGCCCTACACCGCGCGCATCTACGCTGCCGGCTTCGACTCGTCCAAAAGCATCTTCCTGGGGGTGGGTCAAACACACTCCTCCGACACAAACTCTCTTCTCTCTAGCAGTCTTTCATACTCATCCATCCATCCATCCGTTCCACGATGCTTTCATGTGTTCATCTGTCCACTATCACTCATCCTGGAGAGGCTGGAAATGAACAAGTGAGTGAGTGAATGAACTAATTCATGACGCGAGTGAACTACACTGCCGTTCGAAAGTTTGCGGTCAGTAAAAGTTTGTATTTGATACTTTTGAAAGAAGTATCTTCTGCTCACTAAGGCTGCATACATTTGATCAAAAATACAGTTTCTATTTGATATATACAGTATATATATACTTTTTTTTTTTTTATGTAACTGATTGCTGTGATCAAAGCTGTATTTTCAGCATCATTACTCCAGTCTTCAGTGTCACATGATCCTTAAGAAATCAGTCTAATATGCTGATTTGCTGCTCAAGAAACATTTCTGATTATTATCAATGTTGAAAACAGTTGTGCCGCTTCATATTTTTTGAAAAAATGGTGATCATTTTTTTCAGGATTTTTAAAAAATAGATAAACATTATAAGTGTTAAGATTATAAATGTGTTTACTGCCACTTTTGATCAATTTAATGCATCCTTGATTAATAAAAGTATTAATAACATTTTTTTTTTAAAATCTTACTGACCCCAAACATTTAAATGGTAGTCTGTGTGTATGATTGAATGAATGAATGAATGAATGAATGAAGTGATCAATCGTGTGAATCTGTGAATGAAGTGTGCGAGCAAATTAATTAGTGAACAAAGTGAATGAATGCATGAATCGCTAAACGAAGTGACTGAATGAATGAATCCGTGAATAATTGAGTGAATCAGTGAATACAGTAAGAGAACAAATTAATCAGTGAATGAAGAGAGTGAACGAGTGAACCTGTGAATAAGTGAGTGAACAAATGAATTGGTGAATTAATTGAGGGAACAAATTATTCGGGAAATGAAGTGAGCAAATGAACGAAAGAATGAATGAATCGGTTAATGAACGAATGAATGAATCAGTGAACGAAGTGAGCGAATGAATGAATCAGTGAACAAAGTGAGCGAATTAATGAATCAGTGAACGAAGTGAGTGACTGAATGAATCAGTGAATGAAGTGAGCGAATGAATGAATCAATGAACGAAGTGAGTGAATGAACAAAGTGAGCGAATGAATGAATCAGTGAACGAAGTGAGTGAATGAATGAATCAGTGAACGAAGTGAGCGAATGAATGAATCAGTGAATGAAGTGAGCGAATGAATGAATCAGTGAACGAAGTGAACGAATGAATGAATCAGTGAACGAAGTGAGCGAATGAACGAAGTGAGCGAATGAACGGAGTGAGCGAATGAATGAATCAGTGAACGAAGTGAGCAAATGAATGAATCAGTGAACGAAGTGAGTGAATGAATGAATCAGTGAACGAAGTGAGTGAATGAATGAATCAGTGAACGAAGTGAGTGAATGAATGAATCAGTGAGCGAATTAATGCATCAGTGAATGAAGTGAGCGATTTAATCAGTGAATGAAGTGAGCAAACAAATGAACTGGTCAATGAATTGAGGGAATGAGTGAATCGATAAATGACTTGAGTGAACAAATTAATTGCTGGATGAATTGAGGGAAGAAATTAATCAGTAAATGAAGTGAGCAAACGAATGAAAGAATGAATGAATCGGTTAATGAACGAATTAATCAGTGAACGAAGTGAGCGAAAGAATAAATCAGAGAATCGGTGAATCAACAAACGAATGGACCGGTTTTCCCTCTGTCCTCAGGAGAAAGCTGCGAAATGGTGGTGCGCTGACAGCCAGATGGACGGCCTGACCACCAACGGCCTATTAGTAATGCGACCGCCGCACGGCTTCACCTGCGAGTCCAAACCGGGCTCCTGGAGAGAGATCTCAGTCTGCGGCAACGTCTTCACGCTCCGAGAGACCCGGTCCGCTCAGACACCCGGAAAACTGGTGAGAGCTGACATTAGACTTTAATAGACTAGCCATTTAACACACCACCAAATTTAGATCAAAGAATGACCGAGGCTTGATGAAATCCTCCAAAACGAGGTCAAAACTTTGCCATAGCGACATCTCTGTAACGCACAGATAAACATAAGAGTGACATTTCCTTATTTCCCAGCTTCGCCATGACAACTCTGATCGTGTGTTGGTAAATACTCATTTTAGTGCTTGACAATTCCCACTGTCCTTGTCTGGAATCACACAAACACTCACAGTTTGCAGTGTAAAGAAGAATTTGTATATTTGTAAATCTTTTCAATCAGCGAAGGCCCACAGGGACTGAATCAGCACATAGCTGGTGTGTTTGTGTGTGTTGTGCGTGATATGACTCCCGCCCGACTGCACAGTTTGTTGTGTTGTTCAGATCTGGTCTCCATGGTGTCAGAAGTCCTGTCCGTAACCTCGCCATGCAGCTTTCTCTCTCTGGATGCACAGTGTGTGAGAACGAGAGGTTATGAAATGACTGACTGTCGCTGGTAAACAACTGCCATTCTGAAAACCTCTAAACCAGTTCCTCTCAGAAATGTGTTTCTACATATCTGTTGAGTTTTATAACTCAGAAAGTGTCTTACTGAAGCTGAATCATTATTAGATCGAAAAATCTAAAGAAGGAATAATGCTTAAGTTAAAGAAAATAGCCTATTTCATTGTTATTTTAGTATCATTCATATACTTCTGTAGTTTTTGTTGATTAGTATTTTTAATATATATTGTTTTCTCTTTCATTTTAGTTAAAGTTTTAGTAATCTTGCTGCATTTGCCATTTTTAAATAGTTTTTTATGTTTATATAATAAATGTTTTTTATTAGTTTTAGTTTTGGTTGTTGTAGTACTTCAAGATAAAATAAAATAGAAATGTTGCCTTGGCAAGTAGCTGAAGTAAAATGTTTAATTATATATATATGTAACATTTAATATATATATACTGTATATATATATATTATATACTTTTTTCATTGTTATTTTAGTATCATTGATATACTATTGTATTTTTTTTATTAGATTTTTTATATATTGACTTTACTTTTAAAGTTTTAGTAATCTTGTAGTGTTTTGGTCATTTTTATTAGTTTTTTTATGTTTATATAGTTTTTATTACTTGATTAGTCGTAGTTGTTTTCATACTTAAAGTTAAAATGAAGAAGAAATGTTGCCTTGGCAAGTAGCTGAAATAAAATATTTTTTCATTTTTTTAATATAAATTTTTATTTTAATTTAGTTCAGTTATTGTTTATTTTATTTTAGGTTTTAGTTAACTGGAATAATCTATTTTTTTCTTATTTAGGATATTTTGTGCATTGTGGCATTATTTCTATATATAAAAACCACTGCCGTTTTCGTGAGATTTACCTTTTAATAACTCGGTCGTGTTTGTCGATGTGGGCTGGGTTTGTGTGTCCTGGCGGAGACGGCAGACCTGAGGTGCATAGTCTGCGCTCTCTAAATAGTGGATGTGGTTTGGACTTGTTTCATTCTGACTCTGTGTGTAGCCTACTCGCTGTACATTACTGACTCGTGCAGAGCTGCGCGCTAGTGTTTGAGACAGAGGTCGCGTAGATGAGAGCATCATCTACTGGACGCTTCGAGTCAGTGCAGATTGAACTTTTGATAACTCAAGTGAAAGAAACTACCTGTAGATGGTTATATTAGCCAGACACATTAATCGCTCAATATCTGACTGTTTTATGATTATCCTGCTTTGATGATTAGCAGAAGTGGCTGTTTTCCATTGTGTCAGTTCCAAATGCTGGCCTGGTTGTTAATGATATAATTGTTAATGATATGATATAATTTTAGTGAATATATAAAATATATAAAATATTAATGTAATTATAAATTCAAATCTAATTAAAAAAAAAAAAATTTATATATGATTTTTTACATGATTCATAAAGCAAACTTTTGATTTTGCTAGTTAGATTTGTTGAAGTCAGTATGTATGAGCAATAGTAATTTTCTGTTTTTATAATGAAAATATTTTTATTTGTAATTTTTATTTTAAAATATATATACATATATGTTTTAGGAATAGTATTTTTCTATTTTTAAATAATTTTGTAAATATATAACATAAAAAAATGCATATAATGAAAATTATTTTTATTTTTATTGTCTTTTTTTATACAGCAATAAGTGAGCATTTAGTTTTAATAATTTTAATGTGATTTTCAACCAAAACAAACTTCTGTCACCATTTATTTTTGCACAAATCATGTTGCTCCATCAATATTCAATGATACGAAATAATATTGTTTTGACCATCATTTATTTTGAGACTATTTTAGAAAAGAAAAAAAAACACACTTTAGTTGCCAAAATCAAACAAAAATGCTGCAAGGTTTAATGTGGAGTTTATTGAAATCAATATATATAACTAATAGTGAAGTGATCAGTCCCACTAATTACGAAACATGTTGTTCTGTTTCTCTCTCTCTCTCTCTGTAGGTGGAGAATGAGTGTCACGAGCTAGTGGATGGCACTTTAATCGACCTGTGCGGCGCGACTCTGCTGTGGCGTTCGGCGGAGGGTCTGTTGCGCACGCCGACCCCCAAACACCTGGAGGTGCTGCGGCGGGAGCTGAACGCGGCGCGGCCCCAGTGTCCCGTGGGCCTGCACACCCTGGCCTTCCCCAGCCTGGAGCGCTCCTCCAGCCCCGACCACCAGCCCTGGGCCTACCTGACCTGCGGCCACGTGCACGGACAGCACGGCTGGAGGGGCTCCGCCGAGGAGGACGAGTCCCAGAGCAGAGAGGAGCCGGGGCTGGAGCAGGGCGAGCGCGAGTGCCCGCTGTGCCGCACCCGGGGCCTGTACGTGCCGCTGAAGCTAGGCCGCGAGTCGGGCTTCTACCTGGACGCCGCGCCCCCCACGCACGCCTTCAGCCCCTGCGGACACGTGTGCTCGGAGCGCACCGCCGCCTTCTGGAGCAGACTGCTGCTGCCACACGGCGCTCACGGCCTCTGCCCCGCCTGCCCCTTCTGTATGCGGCCGCTCGCCCGCCACAGGAAGAGCGTCAGGCTCATCTTTCAGGGGACGCTGGACTGAGTGTGTGTGGCTGCGTCCCAAATCACCAACTACACCCTTAAAGGGTTAGTCCACCCAAAAATGAGATTTAGCCCATGCTTTACTCACCCTCAAGGCATCCTATAGGTGTATATGACTTTCTTCTTTCAGACGAATCCAATCTGAGTCTCATGTGAAGCACAAAAGCAGTCATAAGTAGCACGGGTATATTTGAAAGCAATAGCCAACAATACATTGAATGGGTCAAAACTATCGAATTTCTAAAGTAAGGAAACTTTGCTTCCTTTGCGCCTGTAAACAAACTCGCGAGACTAGCATATCTCAGAGACGGCTTGCACGTATGACAGATAGCGGAAGTTAGTGATGGGCGCTTTCGAATCACTGCTTCGTGACGCTTCGAAACTTTTTTAATCATTTGTTTCGAAACAGTGGTTCGGAGCGCATATCAAACTCGCGCCAAAGTCACGTGATTTCAGTAAACGAGGCTTCATTACGTCAAAACTGTTTCAAAATTTCAATGGTTCACCGCTGGGGGGGGGTCTCTGATCTCGGATCAGTTTTATCAATTTGTCGACATTTTTTACGAGACACTTGTGTAGTTAAAAGGATGAGAAGTAGTTAAGAGTCTTTTACTGGCCACATACTATACAGACACTTCATATTTAATGGTATTTTATAATTTTTATTACATTTAATGTATTATACTTACCATATACCAATGGGTTTTTAAAAGCTATTTTTATGCATGTTTTGGCATGAGTTTTTGCTGTATTTACACAGTTTTGACCATGCAGCAGGCATGTGGTGTTTCGAGCGCAAATCATTTTGCGAAGCAATTGAAAAGGTTTGTTTCTCCCATCACTAGCGGAAGTGAGAGAAAAGTGTTTATAACATTTGAAATATGGATATTTTTCTTACAAAAATGCATGGATTTGCTACAGGAGGCCTTTATTCACCCCCCGGAGTCGTGTGAGGCACGTTTTATTACGGATGGATGTGCTTTATTGGACTTCTTTTGGACTGTTGAAACAAACACCCACCCACTGCCATTATAAAGCTTGGAAGAGCAAGGATAATTTTTTTATATAACTCCGATCGGATTCATCTGAAAGAAGAAAGTCATATACACCTAGGATGCCTCGAGGGCGAGTAAATCATGGGCTAATTTTAATTTTTGGGTGAACTATCCCTTTAAATAGGGCAATGTTTGAGGGGACAGCCATTTATAGTGCTGTCCGAAACCTTAGTGGACGTTATCGAGTGCACTCGTTCAATCCCACAATGCACAGCAATAACAAGTGTACAACTGATGTATGCTCAAATGCTAGAGAATACCCATAATGCACTGTCAATTTACATAATCCATCCATTCATTTTTACAAAGCGCTCATCCTCAGCATACAGCGTAATACAACACAGGTATAAATTCACTGTAAACTGATTATTCAATTGTTTAATTAGGGTTTATACATCATTTCCATGACAGAGTTCAAGATAAATCCTTTCATCTTACTACTGGAGCTAACAGTGTGCCGGTTTTAAATGATTATTAAACAGCAGCACAAACTATGCAAAAGCAGCAGTCTTTCCTGTGCACTCAGTGTCACTCGTTTTCATTCACTCCTTCAAGTGAACTGTATGAGTGGTCTAGTGCAGGGAATAGTGAATGAGGGTATAGGGGGTGATTTCGGACTCAGCCTGTGTGTGTTTAAGACTCATACTGTACAAGCTGCTCCTCTGCCAACACACACATTCAGCTCTGATCTTCCCACAAGCCATCTGTTCTCTGTCTGACTGGATGCTGTTCACTGTACGTTCAGTAGTTTACTGTTTAAAAGCCACTGCGCTTGAGCTGTCCTGCTCGTGCCATAAAAACAATGTTATGTTAGGAATCTGTACGAATGCACTTCAGTGGGTGTGTGAACCTGTTTTCTGAATTCATTTACTTTCATTTGTGCTTGTTTTAAACTGCCATAGATTATCACCTCCAAAAATACCAATGATTTTCATCAACAATGAGTTTGAAATGAGGTTATTGCTATATTATGTTATAATGTATGTAATATTAAAACTCTGTTGTTGTTGCATTTTCTCAGAAATGTTTTTGTATCATTCTTAAAGAATAAAGTTATAGATCATATTTCAATTAAACATTGAGCACGTCTTCCACCTATTTTTAAAAATTATATATGGTCAGACAGACATTATATAGAAAGAAATATAGAGAAAAAGAGCTGAATGAATGAAAATACACAATAAAAAATGAATGAATGAGAATAATGAATAAAATGTGACAGAAAAGGCAGAAAACAATGAATGAAAGAAATGAATCAGAACAAGTTACTGTATGTATTACTTTAGCAACAAAGAACATAAAGACAATAAATAAAATAAATATCCTAAGAGGGTTATTCATTAAATGGACTAAAGTGTATTATATTATATCATAGTTGAAAACTGTATTGTTGTTGTTGCATTTTCTCCGAAATATTTTTGTATTGTTCCTAAAGAATAATGTTAATAGCTCATACTTCACCTATTTTTTTTATTTTATTTTATTATTTAGAAAAGAAATAAGAAAAGAAAAGCCGAATGAATGAACAGAAATACATAAATTGCAAGCACAAAAATGAATGAAGACAGAACGAATAAAAGAAAAAAAACAACCAATAAAATAAAGAACGAAAATAAGTTATCAGTTCTTTAAAGAATTCAAATATTTGTCGATATCTTTCTTGAAAATAGAAAAAGTAGGTATTCTTTTATTTTAAAGAAGGTACATTTATGAATGTACGTTACATGTAACTTTACGAGGAACAATAATAAAATAATACAATAATTATAAGCTCAGTATGAAAATTGTCTATTGTCAAAAAGTATCCAAAATCACGCATTTTTGGCTAATACAAAAGTTCTTCTACCTGGACGCCGCACCCCCCACGCACGCCTTCAGCCCCTGCGGACACGTGTGCTCGGAGCGCACCGCCGCCTTCTGGAGCAGACTGCTGCTGCCACACGGCGCTCACGGCCTCTGCCCCGCCTGCCCCTTCTGTATGCGGCCGCTCGCCCGCCACAGGAAGAGCGTCAGGCTCATCTTTCAGGGGACGCTGGACTGAGTGTGTGTGGCTGCGTCCCAAATCACCAACTACACCCTTAAAGGGTTAGTCCACCCAAAAATGAGATTTAGCCCATGCTTTACTCACCCTCAAGGCATCCTATAGGTGTATATGACTTTCTTCTTTCAGACGAATCCAATCTGAGTCTCATGTGAAGCACAAAAGCAGTCATAAGTAGCACGGGTATATTTGAAAGCAATAGCCAACAATACATTGAATGGGTCAAAACTATCGAATTTCTAAAGTAAGGAAACTTTGCTTCCTTTGCGCCTGTAAACAAACTCGCGAGACTAGCATATCTCAGAGACGGCTTGCACGTATGACAGATAGCGGAAGTTAGTGATGGGCGCTTTCGAATCACTGCTTCGTGACGCTTCGAAACTTTTTTAATCATTTGTTTCGAAACAGTGGTTCGGAGCGCATATCAAACTCGCGCCAAAGTCACGTGATTTCAGTAAACGAGGCTTCATTACGTCAAAACTGTTTCAAAATTTCAATGGTTCACCGCTGGGGGGGGGTCTCTGATCTCGGATCAGTTTTATCAATTTGTCGACATTTTTTACGAGACACTTGTGTAGTTAAAAGGATGAGAAGTAGTTAGTCTTTTACTGGCCACATACTATACAGACACTTCATATTTAATGGTATTTTATAATTTTTATTACATTTAATGTATTATACTTACCATATACCAATGGGTTTTTAAAAGCTATTTTTATGCATGTTTTGGCATGAGTTTTTGCTGTATTTACACAGTTTTGACCATGCAGCAGGCATGTGGTGTTTCGAGCGCAAATCATTTTGCGAAGCAATTGAAAAGGTTTGTTTCTCCCATCACTAGCGGAAGTGAGAGAAAAGTGTTTATAACATTTGAAATATGGATATTTTTCTTACAAAAATGCATGGATTTGCTACAGGAGGCCTTTATTCACCCCCCGGAGTCGTGTGAGGCACGTTTTATTACGGATGGATGTGCTTTATTGGACTTCTTTTGGACTGTTGAAACAAACACCCACCCACTGCCATTATAAAGCTTGGAAGAGCAAGGATAATTTTTTTATATAACTCCGATCGGATTCATCTGAAAGAAGAAAGTCATATACACCTAGGATGCCTCGAGGGCGAGTAAATCATGGGCTAATTTTAATTTTTGGGTGAACTATCCCTTTAAATAGGGCAATGTTTGAGGGGACAGCCATTTATAGTGCTGTCCGAAACCTTAGTGGACGTTATCGAGTGCACTCGTTCAATCCCACAATGCACAGCAATAACAAGTGTACAACTGATGTATGGCCAACAGCTAGAGAATACCCATAATGCACTGCGAGAGTCGCGCACTGAATGAATTCCCGCGTCTCTCCAGAAGATGAATCATCCATCCATTCATTTTACAAAGTGCTCGTCCACTGCGTCATACAATACAGATATAAATTCATTGTAAATTGATTATTAAATAGATGTTTGAGGGGACAGCCATTTATAGTGCTGTCCGAAACCTTAGTGGACGTTATCGAGTGCACTCGTTCAATCCCACAATGCACAGCAATAACAAGTGTACAACTGATGTATGCTCAAATGCTAGAGAATACCCATAATGCACTGTCAATTTACATAATCCATCCATTCATTTTTACAAAGCGCTCATCCTCAGCATACAGCGTAATACAACACAGGTATAAATTCACTGTAAACTGATTATTCAATTGTTTAATTAGGGTTTATACATCATTTCCATGACAGAGTTCAAGATAAATCCTTTCATCTTACTACTGGAGCTAACAGTGTGCCGGTTTTAAATGATTATTAAACAGCAGCACAAACTATGCAAAAGCAGCAGTCTTTCCTGTGCACTCAGTGTCACTCGTTTTCATTCACTCCTTCAAGTGAACTGTATGAGTGGTCTAGTGCAGGGAATAGTGAATGAGGGTATAGGGGGTGATTTCGGACTCAGCCTGTGTGTGTTTAAGACTCATACTGTACAAGCTGCTCC